AGGTTATTTAGGGAAAATCTACTTGGCAGTGTGCAAACAACTTTCAGCCATCATGACAGTCCTGAAATAGAGCAGGTTGCTAGTGATGAAGGGTACTCTGAGTGAGAAAAATATATACTGGCTCTAAAATAAAAACTGTAAGTAAAGAAATTCAGCCAGACTTCTTGTATGTCATACTTAGCAGCACAAATCTGGAGTTAGGCTTCCTCATAGAACTTCTGATTGCAAAAATGGCAGATGGGGATTAGGAAAACAGCTCCCTGCCGTGAAATACATAGGGAAAATACAGCAAAAGAGCATTTCCTGAAAAGAAACCTTGAAATTATTTTTAAATAAACTACCCTGAAAATGATTCTTACAGTAAAGGGAGCCAATAATAGACTTCGAAGGGTGCTTTTTGCACGAGATACAAAAACACTCCAGCCTTTTCTGTAATGCAATTGAACAGCTTACTGGAGCTAGCACATCCAATCGATTTTAAGGCATCTCTCTTCTTCATAACAAGAGCAGCAACAGAATCCATCATACTCACTGGCACGGGAAAACCATACTGTCATCCTCGTTACAGCATTCCTATGAGGCTAACATTCTGATTGGCATGCCTTGAGGAAAAGGTGGCATGCAACGGAAGTAATCACAAATTCACAAATGTGTGAATGCCTTCAGCCCATTGTGAAGGTGCACAGGACTTCCACGTCGTAACGGTCATTCTGCACCAAGGCTTTGCTTTTTTGTGTATTCGCTTCATATCAAGACATGTATGAATGAAGTGGGATTATACCCTGCTGAGGTCCTTCCCCTCCCCAAACTCTGTCCACCTCAGGTTCCACCCCCCCCCCAATCTCCAGGTTTTCCCCAACCCAGAGCTGGCAACCCTGTAAGATGCCCTAACAACTGTATTGCACTGACTTCCTCAAAACTGTCCACTAGCCACCTAGCTAGAAGGAGCTCATTGTCCTATCACTGCTGCTCCAAATAAGTGCCAGCTCAGTCTCTAGCTAAGGCAAAGGAGTTGGCTGCAGAAGCCAGGGAGACTGAGCCCCATAAAAGCAGGAGCCCCTTTTATACTAGGAAGCTGCCTTCGGGTTCTAACAGGTACCCTTTACCAGGCTGCAGGGCTTTAGGGGACCTCAGCTTTGGCTGTACATCCAAGCCATTACTGTGCTATGGTCTATTTCTGATATTACAGAAGTAAAACGGACTTTATGTTGCTTTTTATGACACATGAGATTGTATGATTGCACTGGATTGGCCAGGGGGGCATATGAGGAAAAAGAATGAATCCAAATAAGAGATGCTTGGGTCCTCTTTGCCTTCTCCCAAGTGCAGAGGCAGAGAAACAAGCTGCGGGGACAGGAGGCAGCAGCAAGCAGCGAGCCTAGCTGTAGGGTTGCCATCAGTGTTCCCTCTAAGCTGAGTTAGAATGAGCTAGCTCACAGTTTTTTAGCCTCCAGCTCAGAGATGTTTGTCTTCACTCAGGAAGGAGGGCTCCAGAGCAAACTAATTTATGCAGCAGCCAAATCGCTTGTTCACAACTTTAATGCCGGTAGCTCACAAAGCAGAATTTTTGCTCACAAGACTTCAAGTCGAAAAGATCATTCTGCATTCAGCTTAGAGGGAACATTGGTTGCCATCCCCCCGAGGGGGGTGGGTTTCCCCCCAATTTCAGGGGCCCCAATCCACCACCCAAGAGCTCCACTGTGCCCAACACACCCGGCATGATGACATCATCCGGAGGAACATTGTGTGGGGGATGCTCTAGCAGCCAGGTAAAAACTCTATGGTGACCTTAGAGTTTTTGGCTGAATGCTAGAGTGTTCCCTACATGACATGCCTGGCACAATTACATCATTTCTGGATGACATTGTTGTGGTACGTGCACCAGAAGACCCCAGGCAGCAGCCAAGAGCCCCCCACTGGCAAACAGTAGGCAACCCTACCTAGCTGGTAGAAGGGAAAGGACTCTGTTATGTAAATCTCCGACATCTTAGTGATGGGAGTCAGAGAATGAGACAATCAAAGCGAAGGAGAGACCCTGGAACAATTCCACTCAAGGTTCACTGGAGGGTCCTGTCCCCCCGTATTCCTTCCATTATTTAAAATATATATAGGCCCGTCTTTCTCCCAGATAAATGGCCATGAGCTGGATAACAAAAACAAAACCATTTTAAAAACAAGACAATTTAAAAACAGCCCTTTCAGAGTTCCTTCCTGAAGAGCTGGAGTAACACAATATTGCAGGTCGGGGCAAGGCCTTTGCTATCTGTGCTGACTGAGGGCTGGCAGATAAGGCCCCAAAGAGCCATCTCACTACCCAACAGCAATGCAGGTGCTCACCTCAGAGCTTTTCTGATCCCCTTATGGCTGCCCTGCTGCTGATGCTAGAGGATCGTAATTTTCTCTATAAATGTATTGGGAAAGGGGCATCCGTATCTTGCCAGAAGGTCATTAAAAAAATAATAATGTGTTAATGAAAAAAGATAGAAAGAGCCCTTGGAACTAGAGGCCGGACTGATTCTTTTTCATATTAAAATTCAAATAATATAGACTTGTGTCGATGGCATTCCAAACTGCCATGATGGAATGATATTCTTAGCATAAGGGAGCATATTCCAAATAATAAGTTTCTGAACTATAAATATAGCTTCCAAAATAGAAATATAGCTTTTGATTCATGGTTACTACAGCAGTTGAAAGCTAATATCAAAGAGATTCCTTTGACCTGCATTTTATGTACAGAAGCTTTCTGTTTGCCAGGGACAACACAAAGCAGATGCTTCTTTTTAATGTGCACTCTCAACAAATGAAAGTGAGAAGTAGTAGGTCTGTACTGGCCCTTATTATGCAGGTAATAGTATGGAGATGTAACCTAGCTTTTCATAGGACTTCCTGTGTTTGCTAGCTTTCCCTTTTTCTGATTATATCCGTTTGCTTGGCAATTAAGAAAAGAGAGCGACTATTAGGGAAGTCATTATACCGCTCAGAAAAAGTGGTTTTTGAGATATGATAGCTGATGATAGAAGCACTGTTTTCTTATTTATTGAAAATGCCTTGCAAAATGTATTTGCTTATATAACTGCAGTTCTTGATATATTCTGTGTTGAGCCATGTTACAGAATTAAAGTTTTGGTTTGTGTATTTTCCCCCTAGAGAAAAGGAAAACCAAAACTGCAGAGCAAGTAATGGCCAGGGAGATAAGTATATGGACTAAGAATATACTACAAAGGCTTTGGTGTTATCAAAAGAGGTGTTTTGGGAGAGCCTCTCATATTCTGTGGGTAGATGTGCAAGTAGCTGCAGGTGACTGACAAGTGCCATTCCCTGAGTCCAAGGCTGGTTTCACTTAATCAAAATTACTGCAAGAATGACACACCTCCTCCAAAATGGCTGGTAGATACCTTCCCTACAAAAAGAACTAGGACAGAGAAGCAGGATTGGCTGCACCCAAGGATTCAAGGGATGTAGGGGCACCATTCATCTTGTTGCCCCCCCCTTT